AGAAAATATGTTTTAAGCTGTTTTCTAAGGTGGTCTAAGACTTTTGCACAATATTGTCTGAACTCAAAACACAAAAAAGCTCACATATATACTGAAAATAGGGTTGTTGGTCATATTCAGTGCATGTTTCTCTTATTTTCTTGTGTAAAAGCAGACACTGGCACACACAACATGAATTACAGGGCCAGGATGGTGACCCCAGGCTGAGATGCTGCAGTCCGAGAGGGGTACTGAGGGGCCAGGGGGCTGTGCTAGAATCCAGCCGGCAAGGCCAGGCTAGATTAAGACCCCATCTGTAGGCCCCATTTAATAAGCACAATCAGAGAAGGCATGACAGGCTTAGTCACTGACACACGTGTCCTGCATTTAGTGCCATCAGTCAGGTCAGAGGGCTCTTCTGTCCATCATGGGGGGGGGGCGGTGGGGAGGTATAATCTCAGATATTGTCTCTGCATTTTATTAATGTTTGAGCAGAGATCAAGAGGAGAACTGGGTTCCTTTGCTTTTATGTGTTGGTCTTCAGTGCCATCTACTGGACATTTGAGCTCACTGCAGCTATGTGAACATAGGCAAACAAAGGCAAATTCCACTGAAGATTTCTGCATAATTACCCATAAGGAAAAAACATATATTCCAGAGGTATTTATCAAATTTATCATATTTTTGCAATGTATGAAAATGGCCAGAAAATCTGTTTGTTAAATATATTTGTACAATGCATTTATTTGTATTTGTTATTATATCTTTTCAATTTCATGTAGTTTTAAGAAAGGATACAGATAGAGCTAAATATCCATGAACTGAATAAAGGGTGCTGACTTAATCACTGTACGTTGAGGTAAGACACACAAAATGTATTTCATATAAACGAGATATCAAATCATAACTGCGTTTTCACAGAGTATCAATACCTACAACACTTGCTTTTGCCATGTTAAAGGTTCGTTTGCTAATATTTAAAATTAAGACACTGGAATGCAAATTAATTTCAAAAGGTATTCAAACAGTAAAGTGCCTTTGACAGTATTTTGGCTATTTTCATACATTTTCTAATGTATTTGAAAAATATATTTACATTAATTTCTTCTGTAGTCCATTTCTATGTGTAATATTTCTTCATACATTTTAAAATAAATGTATTTTTAAATATATTTGGTTAATATGATAATATACAGAGCCCCGATGGTGACATCCTATATAAATAAAAATAATGCATGGCCACGACTTAGTAAGGCATGGGAATGAAATAATTAAGTTGTGGCCATGACTTAGTAAGGCATGGGAACAAGATAATTAAGTCATGGCCACAACTTAGTAAATCATGGAAATGAGATCTTAATGCATGGCCACGACTTAGTAAGGTGTGGGAATGAGATCCTAATGTATGGCCATGACTTAGTAAGGTGTGGGAATGAGATCTTAATGCATGGCCACGACTTAGTAAGGCAAGGGAACAAGATAATTAAGTCATGGCCATGACTTAGTAAGGCATGGGAATGAGATTCTAATGCAGGGCTATGACTTAGCAAGGCAGGATCTGCAGTGTGATGTGACGTTGAAGACAGGCCTGATCTTTAGCGTAACGCTACCACTCGGCCTCATACGTTCGACAGAATTCACACTTTGATGTCCTTTTCACATTTTAGTTCACCAATGTTCTGTCACTACAGTACCCAGCATGCATTACACAAATGCATCATACCATTGGGAATCTCTGTGATGTCTACCAATCCTGACTGCTAGCCTAGCCACTGATCTACAAGCTAATAAAAACAACCAAGCTAGCATTACTGTAACCCTTCCCTCAGTCATTGATTCCAGTTTTATTCAACACAAAATTAAAGGTTTTTCCTTTTGGCCAGAGAAAAAGCACCAAACTGAGGTAGGATACGCTATATGGACGAAAGTATTGGGACACACAGCCATGCAGCCTGCCTTTACACACATTTGTGAAAGAATGGGTCTAAAGAGCTCACTGAACTTGAACGTGGTGCTGTGGGGTTGTTTTCCAGGGTTTGGTCTAGAACCCTTAGTTCCAGTGAAGGGAAATCTTAACGCATCAGCAGACAAAGACATTTTGGACAATTATACACTTCCAACTTTGTGGAAACAGTTTGGTTAAGGTCCTTTTCTGTTCCAGCAAGGTCCATAAAGGCATGGTTGGGTGAGTTTGGTGTGGAAGAACTTGACTGGCCTGCACAGAGCCCTGACCTCAACGCCAGCCAACACCTTTGGGATGGACTAGAACAGAGATTGTGAGCCAGGCCCTCTCGTCCAACATCAGTGTCTGACCTCATCAAATGCTCTTCTGGATAAATGGGCAAAAATTCCCACTGACACACTAAAATCTTACACCACCAGAAACCAACAGAAACGTTTAATGGTGTCTCTGATTTTATTCCAGCAGGGCTATCCGGCCTCTCAACAGTAATGTTAGCTATCTGGCTTCCTTCTGCAATTGTCAGCTAGCTGGAAATCAACATTTCAAATGGTTCAGCCCCCCAAAATCCACCCCAAAGCAGCTGTAAAGTTCCTTTCACCTTCAAGATATGTGATCAGGAGGGTTTTCCAGCCTTTAAACTAGAAAATATTACTCTCGAGAGCACTGCAGTACTGCTGAGGGCTGGAGTCGGCATGTTTACTACAGATATAGTGACTGCATTGAGTGTGGCATTTTTCATTTTGCCCCTTATATGTGTGCTTGTACTGGTGTTATACCTGACTGGCCGTGATCACTGTCTCCCTCTGCTGTTGCAAAGTGGAATTGCAGGAAAAATGACAGCATTATCTTAGCATTCCAGTGAGCTGACAGCAGAAAACTCCTCAACACCAGGCCTTTATTATGAATTCTGGAAGCACAATTGGAAGAAGAGCTGGAACGCTTCACTGGTCTTCTCATAAACTTTGTCCGAGAGATAAAAGCAGTGGGGGTCTCGAACTCCGGTCAGCATGGTTTGCTGATGTCCTACTAAACTTGAGCTGAATGAGGTGTGTATTAGCAGGGAAGTCACCAAAGATCCTCCTGAACTGGAGTTCAAGACCCCTGAACTCATAACTGGACTGTATTTGGGGGAACAGGACAAACCCGTCACATTACAATTACAACATACCTAGAGGGGTAAAAATACATTGATACACCAAAGTGCATTGATCTGAGGGTGACAACTGTCAGTTTGAAATGTTAATGTATGTTATGGTCAATTATAATATAATAATATAATATACTAATATAATATTCAATAAAGTATGCACCAGTCACCCTTCACTTATTTAATTTCCGGTCAAAACAGACAGTTTCCATTTTTCTAAGGAGATGATGATGATACACAGGACAACTGTGCAAGAACTAATGGACCACTAAGCTATCGGCATCAGATAAACAGCACTTACAGCTTTTATCTTTGAGAGAGAGGAAAAAATCAAGCTCCACTCTTGATTCAGATCTGAACACATCCACCGCCGTCCTTCCACTGTGAGAAGACAACACAGCACTGTGGGTCTGAAAGGATGTGTAGCTGTTACTGAGAAAAGGAAATGAGAAAGATTACTTTGATCATGGGAAACAGAAACTGCAAAGCCAACTTCTAAGACTGAACTTTGGAAGTGTGGGAAAATATCCCTGCAGATTTCTTTAAAAAAAGAAGAATGTAGTTGTAGGGGCTTCTGTGTAATTTTCTATTAAATATGTTTTATACTTTTTTCTGATGCTTAATAATGAAGGACTTGCACTTAATGGTATGAAGACGTTTTAGGGTCACTGTTAAAAAAAAATTAAAATAGTAGTCTTTGAGAATAGAGTAACATTTTGTGATACAAAGTCGTTCAGTATGATATTTTGAAAATAAAGTTGTCATATTTCAAGAAAAAAGTCGTAGAATTCCGACAATAAAGTGGGACTTTACCAGGAAAAGCTGCAATATTGTGGCCAAAGGGTTTGCAAAGGGAAGATAGTAACCTCCTCGTGTTAAAACGAGGGACGCTGAGGAGTTGGTGGAGTTATACTTTGGTATTGATTTCTCCCATAAAAAAATCCTGTATCACATCAGCACCAGCCTGTTATTAGTATAAGAAACAGCTGAAACGGCTGAGCAGGAAACTGGGTTTATTTAGAAGAAAGAACCAGACGGACTTGGAGAAAACCTGAATCGGTGGTATCATCTCCATGCCATTGGAAGAAAGCATGGAATTTCTCAGGAAACAATAAGAGTGATAATCAAAATGACAGATCCTGAAGGAGTGAGAGGAACCAGCACAGCAACAGCGTTATGGCAGCCCCCCTACAATTAGCCCACTTTATCCTCCAAATATCACGAGTTTATTCTTGTAACTTTACGACTTCATTCTCGAAATATTACGACTTTATTCTCAAAGTTTAGTATTTTTATTTTTTTTTACAGTGGCCCTAAAACGGTGTTGTGTACTGGTCATTTGGACTGGAAATTGAATAAACAAGGGGTGGTCTCTGACTTTTGCACAGTACTGTATACTCCACTTCTGTGTAATTAGCTCTTCGGTCATGGTAGTGTATTAAGTGTACTTTAATAAACACACACACATTTTCTAAGCCGCTTATCCTTCTAGGTCGGGGGGGCTGGAGCCTATCCCAGCGGTCACTGGGCAGAAGGCACGATACAACGCTGGACAGGTCGCCAGTCCATCGCAGAGCAGACACACAGACATATACATTCACACACACTCACACCAAGGGGCAATTTAGCATGTCCAGTCAGCCTGACTGCATGTCTTTGGACTGTGGGAGGAAACCGGAGCACCTGGAGGAAACCCACGCAGACACGGGGAGACCTGGTCACCCGGCTGGGAATCAACCTCAGGCCCTCCTTGCTCATACTAAACTAACTGAATCAAATCTTGGTGAGATGTGAGGATTCCTGATGCACTGATTCCTCAAATCAGATTATTAAGACATCAAAGTTGTACAAAAAGGAGATCATTCAGAACTGCAGTGACAAAAACACAGACATCTTCTTGCTTTTCAAAAGATCATTTAATTAAATTGGTTTTCAATTAATTTAATTCAATATAATTTAAGTAAGAAAGAGCAGTATGGATCAAAGTAGATGATCTGTACGAAGAAGCAATAGTAAGTGTGACGGAATGACGATGACGACTGAATAACAATCATTAACTCTGCAAGGACCGGAGGGACCCCTTTCAGCTCGCCTAGTCTTGCAATCGACGTTACAGACCTCAAAAAACACTTTTATACTGAACTGCTTAGTCGTAAGGAGGAGACTGAGAACTGTACAAGCCTCACCAAAACCAGCAGTGGTGAAGATACTGAAGTGAGAAGAGAAGGACGGCATCGATATATATATACACATGTTATAAGAACTGGATGTTGTATATGAAGCCACTGGTCATTTGAATGCTCCTGAGTTTAGACGTAGATCCGTCGAGGCGAAAGCGCCTGCGGTGGTGAATGTGGAGGAGTTTGTGCTTGTAGGTCCTGAGTCTCAGCACAAAAACACTGACCAGTGCGTTAGCCCCATCTGAAATGACCTCACCCCGCTGCACTCGGCTTGATAATGAACCTGAATCTGGCCGCACACGAGCGCTAGACTAAACGAATCACCGCCGAGCTGTTTGAATCATGAAGACGGAAACGTCCGTCTATATGCAAAGAATTTGTGATTCGGGTGAACTTAATTATCACAAAGTGCAAACGAAGAAGATCTAAGCTGATGAGTTTTTCGGGCTTTCTGGCTTGCTAAGGTGAGAGCAGTCTCTCCAGCTGACGCCGCACTTTTTTTGTCGCGCTTGACTCCGAGGCCCACGCAGACTCGCTGTCGGCCGATCCAGATGATGAGGGGGAGGACCGAGACTGTCCCACCATCACAGACAACAGCAGGGGCGCAGCAAAAAAACACTAATCTGCAAAACACATGGACAATGGTAAAGGTGGGTGATATGGCAAAAATATAATATCATGATACTTGAAGACATTTTCACAATGCACATTATGTATTGTTTGGAATTGTTGGAACAAAATCTTGTACCACTGTTTTTTGTCTTTTCTTTTCTTCTTTTTACATATTTGAAAAAGTACCATAAAATCTTGTGACATTAAAGTTGCACTGTGTAAGATCTGGGAAATTGGAGACCCCTGTGGTGAAAATGTGTAATTGCACCCAAAATGAGGCAGAATATTTTGTAATGTTGGTTTTGTTTCAGACCCCTAAATCTGATGATTGTGAGCACATTGAAAGAGAATTCAAGAGATCTCATGAGACCTAAACGTAAAGCAGGATCTTCTTTTTTGAACCTGTGAATGATGTTGATGTGTTAAGACGTATGATGTGGTAAGAAAACTCCAGCGAAATCCGACCGATGCCTCTAACTTTTAAATTATTCAATTTTTTCAGGCTTTACAGGGCGACTCGCAGCAGCGCACTCGCCATATTTAGAAAAAAAGATCTTAACTCACATTAAAAGTTTAAGATAATTGAGTCAAACCTGAGGATACGTCAACCTCTAGTGGTTCAGTAGATGAACTACAACAACACTGATCAACAAAAGGTCAAGAAATTCTGCAAAGGCCGACGTTGTACTCTCTGTTTTTTAAATCTGTTAGGATTAAGAAGTCATGTCGTTTACTCCCAGTTTAAGCCAGTCTGGTGGATTTTTTGGAACATGCAGGTGCTAAATCAGTGCTCTCACCATGACACCACTTCCTTGTTCAGTTGGTCCTTTTCCTGAGCACCTGGTCTCCTGAGCTGACCGTCATCCTCTATACAAACACATTTAACAGATTTAGGAACAACGAGGCCCCTCCAGGGGGCCTGAGACAAATAACCGCTTTAATTCTCATTCAGAATGCAGGAAGGTGAATGCTTGAATACTTGCCTGCTGGGAGTCCCTCTATGTCCTCCAGAAGATTGGCAGTAGAGGCTGCAGTTCCTAGTCTGAAACCAGAGTTATGGAGTAACTGCATGTACTGCCAGCAGAATTAACTACCATCCTCTGTCTGTTTCTCATCTGTCCGTTTCCCATTTAAACCCACTGGCAACTTCATTTGCCACTGTGTAGAAATATACATCTCCTCTCTATTTTAAAAATACAGGGTAAAGTGTTCTACAGCTTTTTAAACCTTTACGCATGATAGAACACAGTTTTACACAGGATTTTGAAAATAAAAACAAAACAAAAGCATATATACTGAGTTTGCTCAAACTGTAGTTTCACAGTAAAAAAATATACAAAAAATGAAGCATTCAGACCGAAAATATTTTACAAGGATAATGTTATAATTCTTTTAAGGCCAAAACATTAATGGAGATGGTAATAATACTTTCTATTAGGATGTGTCTGTCCCAAACCCTAAGCCCTAAATTTATACTTGTGAAAATAACACTGACGCTTTTAATTGTTGTTTTTAAAATATCTTTTTTGTTTCTTTTAAAGTTGAAATATTTAGATTTATCGTAAGTTTAATTGTTAGATCTTTTTAGATTTTTTAAAAATGCTATCCCACATTTTCATGTCACTACTGAAACCAAAAGACTTTTATTCTGTAGGTCGGAGCCTTATTTTAGCCACACCCCTGCACTTTAGAGCAGGAAGTGAGACTGCATGCCTGTCCCTCATGGCCACATGGTGAACATTGTTTTAAAGTAAATATTGACTGAAATGTAGTCATTTTTTTGCGTTTTAATGAAAAATAGCATTTATTTGTGAACAACTGTTCAAAGCTGTGTTTGCTAGTCATGTGCTAGCTAATGTTACTGTATATTTTTGTACATGTTGACATGTTTAAATTTAATAAATTGTGAATATTTCTAGAAAAAAATTGACAAAAAGAAATGTATACAGCATCTTTAATTTTTTGGATATTGACAAATATTTAAGTAGCCACTAAAATTGCTGGTAGGCAAAAACTAATGTTAAACATACATCCAAAAAGGTCAATTTCTATTTGTCTTTCAACACAATGAGATTTGCATACTGTTTCTAATTAAAGCAATAAGCCATTGGAGGCTGTGTGCTACTGCCATTTTATCACAGGGAAGGGTGTTGTTAGGCACGATGCGAAGTGGAGTGCCTAAAATTCTTCCCCATGATAAAATGGCTTATTGCTTTATTAAAACGGCAGCCAACATAAAACATAAAAACATCATAACGCAGCACTGTTTAATGCAAAAACGTTTGCTTTATAAGTACTTTTTGGCCATCAAATTACCATCGTGAGTCTTATTTAGCACCAACCTAACCTCTTCCCACACTGAGGCTGTATCTCAAATGGCTCCCTGCTCCCTACATAGTGCACTATGTAGTAATTTCAATACTGGCTCCTGCATCCCAGCAGTGCATAATATAGCTAATAGCCTTTTGGGATTCATCCACATCCTTACTCAACAAATAATGCATTACTTGCCTGTAGAAGCAAGAATTTCAAAACTTACATAGCACACAGAGCCGTTTGAGACTCAGTCTGGGTTTGATGCTACTTCTGACTGAAACACGGACATTTGAAGCACGTGAATCATTTAAGTCACACTCTTCAGTTTTTAATATTGCAGTTTTACAGTGAAACATACCATAAGTACTTTAATTTAAGCCTGTGAGTTGATTAGCCTGTTAGCTGTATTTCAGCCTGTAGGCTAGCTGACCAGCCTAGTTAAGAAAATAAGTTGTCAGCCCCCAATTTAAACAAAAAACTAGATTCTTTCTTCATCAGTACACATGTGGTCCATGTGAGCAGCATTAGAGTCAAAGATTATTCCATGAACAGCACACGGATTTTTCGTGACGAGGTGCAGTAATAGAGTTCAGTTGTTGTGAGGTTGTCATAGGTGTGCATATATATTGTGTGTTTTACAATTTCAGCCAATTGTAGGACTGGAACCATCTATTTTATAAAGGTCTTTGTACAATATTAATGTTAATAATGTTACATGTTTTGCTTTTAAATATTGTGAACGAGGTTATTTTTTTACTCTTCAATACAAGCAAAGGACGCTATGCATTAGAAAATGTAATGAATTTTGTTTTTTTTATTTAAAATACAGCCAAATGTTTTCTTATTAATATGCAGTATCATTCAAAACCTGATTGATTCTGTGTTCCTCATAATCAGACATTCTGATCTAAAGATCTAAAGGCTTAAATGCTTGAAATATGAATAGTGAAATTTCTGAGGTACCAGGTTCCTCAGCTCTGTTGGAAAAGTGTCTCAGGTGAAACTTTTATCTTTGAAAGAGAGGAGAAGATCGAGCTCTACTCTTGCTTCATATCTGAAAACATCCACATATGTTTCATTCTTTTACTGTGAGAAAGTGTTTCAGGAGGATACGAATGATGCTTGAGCAGAGCCCTCTTTTTGGACTTTCTCCGTCGGGTTTTTTCAGAGAAAGATCTGGCAATTTCAAAAAGCTTCTTCCTTGTAGCTGCAAAATATAAAAAAAATAAACAGGTCAAAAAACTGCTACAATACATTTTGATCTCAGAAACATAAAGAATGACCTACAGAATAGGCCACACAAAACAATCCTTCTTTATTGAATGTATTCTACAGCATTATTCTGTAATGTACAGTAATGTACTCAATTAATTTAAAGGTTATATATTCAACATTTTAAACATTAATACAGCAGCAAACAACCATTTTCTATGTACAGATATAGTGGAGTAACAGCGTGATGAGAAGCGAATGAAGTCACGCCCCCTCTGTGTGTGTTAGTGTGTGTGTGTGTGTTCGTGTGTGAGCCTGGCCGTGCATGCATGACAGTCCCACCCTGTGAAAATGATGGCACTTCTTACATTTTGTTTTGCCCTCCCCAGACAGCGACTGCCCGCGCAGCAGTGTGCATGCACCAATTCGAACAAGAAGCTGAGGCACCAAAATGTAGTCTTAACTGCTGCACCTTTTAAGGCGGAGCGGAGCTTCTGAAGGAGCACTTAAGGGAGGGGTGGATTTGTTTTGCTGTTGTTCAAATATCAAAAATCATTTTCCAGAATTGTACATTGCACCTTTAAATTTCTAAATGTACTGAGATATTTATACATTTAACTGCATAAAGAAATAACAAAAATCTAAAAAACAGCTTTAAAAGGTCTACACAGCTGATGCTCCTAGATTTTTTTAAGCACATTCTAAAAGCAGGCCATGTCCTGATAAGCGCTGATGTCACGCTGAATGACCTAACTACACCGTATATTAGAGCCATCCTTCATCTCCTGTTACCAAATTTAGAAATTACGTGGCTCCAACTGCAGCCAGGCGACCGTTTCATGGCCTGAAGAGAAAGAATGAGAGTATAATGCCACACGGGACAGAAAAGGCATGCAGTCGCGCACAGGCTCATACTTTAATCTGCCATGGTGATTATATTCTGCACAGTGTCTTTCTGATTTGCAATTCAATACAGCAAAACAAACTGGGGGACAGCGAGCAGACAAAGGGAGAGCCAGGTGTCCGTCTGTTACAGATCATTATCTGGTTATAGGAGCGGTGGGGACCGGCGGTGGGGTTACAGTATTTGTTGTGTTTGTTTTTGTCCACTTGCAGTACAAAAATGTTCTAAATTTGTAGGAAACCTAAGAAAAAAGGGCCAAAATTTCCATGTTTCCTTTTTAAGGAGTATAAAAAGTATTTTAATAATATATTCAAAAAAAAAAATGTGAAATTTGTTTTTATGTGCCTTGACTTTAAAAAGGCATGTAATCCAAAAGTAACAGAAAGTAATCAGATTACATTTCTTTAATGTAGTAATCCTTTGGATTAGATTACAGGTTTACAGATTATATTTTTAACAGGTAATCAATAATCTGTACCGGAATACATTTTTAAAATAACCCTCCCAGCCCTGCTATTACTATATTAAGGTACTTACGTGTATATAGGACATAGGTTTACAATAAATAGATACTTATACAAATGGGACACATTATTAATATTACATATTATTAATATTATACATCAGTATAAGCACCCCCACCAATCACCCCCAAAAGCAGTTCAGTTCACCTGTTCTGCTGCAGCTTTGACCTACTTTCTGTTCTATTTTTAGTTTTTTATGTTTTTTTTGGAACATTAACACTTTCAATGAACATCTTTCATTAAAATCACATATTAAATGATATAATACTGAGTAACCCAACACTTTTTTGGTTAACACATACTACTTTAGAGGGTTTATATGTCATATTAAACAATGTAACAATGAGTAACCCAACATCTTTTGTGCAATGTAACTCCAGGCGGACCTCTGGACTCTTCACACTAGGTAAACACGTTCTTACTCTGTTTTAGTGGGGTTTATATACCATCTTAAATAATATAATAATGAGTAACCCGACATCTTTTGAAAACTACTTCTCCACGTTATAACAGATGTTACTGCACACATGAGCTCCTTCTGGTGTAGATGGTGCTTACAGTGCCCCCTGCTGGAAAACCTTCAGACTGCATGTAACTTCTAAAGCCACACCCACAAGCTTTACATATTAAAAAATGAGGGGTTTTCCATTTTTATAGTGCAGTCACTCTGAAATTCAGCTATAGATGCCTTTAAAAAACCATGTAGTATTATAGTTTCATAATTTTAATAATCTAAATCACTTGGGTACTTGAGCTGTACAGAAAATACTGAAGAGTTTTCTCAGATACTAGATTAGATTAGATTGTCTTTATAGGTCCTGAGGGACAATTTGTTTTGTAGACAGCAGTCAACACAACCAACATTAATAAATGACATAAGGTATGTATAAGATATACACTATATTAATATATTAATTAATTAATGTATAGGTGACCCAGTACTTTTGTCCATATAGTGTACATATACAATAGGTGTCATCATATCAGGGTTACAAATGGGTACAAAAACACAGAGAGTCCTTAGGTCCTTGGCCAATGGACCTACAGCTTGTTCAAAAGCCCAGTGACTGATGGAACAAATGACCTCAGATATCTGTCTGAATTGGCCCTCCTAGGGAAATTTACTTCTGTCCTGATGACAGGAGACAAAACTCTGCATGAAGAGTGATGATATTAAATCCTGCTCTGGGAAACATTCAGCAGAGACAGTGGGGAATTTACTCTACTGTAGCCCAGTGGGTTCTTAAGGCCCCATAACAGCCCAATGTTTTAAAAATAAATGTAAAGAAAACATTATGTGTACATAGTTTTTAACATTATCTCCTGCCTTTTTCCGATCCTGTTTTCCGGCTATAGAAGGGAATCAGAGGATCTTTTCCTGCTTCTAAAAGTTCCAAGTCTCCAGAAAAAAAAACTCCAGCAGCACTGCTGTGTCTGATCCACTCATACCAGCACAACACACACTAGCACACCACCACCACATCAGTGTCACTGCAGTGCTGAGAATGATCCACCACCCAAATAACACCTGCTCTGTGGTGGTCCTGTGGGGGTCCTGACCATTGAAGAACAGGGTAAAAGGGGGCTAACAAAGTATCAGAGAAACAGATGGACTACAGTCTGTAACTGTAGAACTACAAAGTCCAGCTACACGATAAGTGTAGCTGATAAAATAGACAATGAGTGTAGAAACAAGGTGGTGTACTTGATGGAGTGGCCAATCAGTGCTTATGTAATATATATATGGAACATCAAATCCTGACATAATATAAAATGTGTGTATGTGTGCGTGTTTTGGAGGGGGGTAACTACTTACATTTGCCCATGTGCTTGAGTTTGTCACGGAACAAGGCATCATCTGAGGCAGAGGTGCAGGCCTCCTCAGACCCTGAGGCACAATGATCTCCTGCACACACACACACACACACACACACACACAGAATAATTCATATAATAAAACACACTCTGAACAGATCCCATATTATGCCGAGTATGAATGGAGCACGAAGCTATTAGCAGATGCAGCCCACCGCTTCTGATCTAAGACCCACACCCTCTTCATCCATTCTGAAACATTTGCAATTAAAGCCATAGTTCAGTGAAGAATCAAATTTACCCAATTTTCGACCTCAAATGTAGTTAATCGGTCAAGAAATGTCTGATGTCTGAGGTTTGCTTCTTAATTTTGCATTACAGTTACAAGGCTAATGTAGGTAATGATGAAAACTTATAGGCCACTAATTAACTGCTGTACTATAAAACTACTCTATCTATAAAAATGTCCGTTTTATAGGTAACAATATGCCAAATTACAACTTGACACAGTTCAAGGTGCACGTGTACTGGTTTAGATAGTAATGGGTAGGTTATAAACGTCCATTTTTTGCTACATTATCCTCGTAGCTCTAGTACAAAACTGAAGAATACTAAACATAGCTTGGCTGATCAACTATGTTCGGTTCTAAAGTGTCCATGTCCTACATTTTTACTGTATTTTACTTTACCGAGGTCCACTTATGACATCTGTGTGGTTTTATATACCAAAAATAATTCATTTTTATATGATCATTTCTCATTTTCTCTTTATCGATTAGAAGTAAACAGGCTGTTATTGTTACTATGCCTTTAAAACTGATGCATGTAAATGATCTCTGTTCTAATTGGCTGCCCTGTATTGTGCCTCATTCGACAAGCAGTTCAGAATGAAACACGCCTTATAGAGTTAAACTGCTGTAGGCTGAATAGGAAGATATATATAGTTATGTTATAGCTGAGGTTTAGGGGAGGAACATGGCTGAAACCCCTCCTTCTACCAAACTAACGCCCTATAAATTCACATCTTCACCTTTCGCTTCCATGGCAAAGTGTTTGCAATCCCCTCTGCCCTCCATCTCCTCCCTATTCCTCAGTCCTAAATCAGTCCTGCTACAGCCGTGAGGGGGGTCCGGCCTTTTAGCTACAGGCAGAAACTGCCCAGAACTCCAGCCCAAGTTCTCAGAGTTCTACCCTCTACCTCACTCAGTCTTCCCTCATACTACCACCACCATGTTGAAGGCACGGTCTGAAGTCACAAAATGTAAATGTGTTGTGTTTTGTGACATCACAAAAACAGCAGCTCCAAACCGGGATGTTTAGGCAGCTTAGTTACCATATGTGGACCTCATGGACTGTAGAATGAACTGTATTTCTTGTTTACATTCTACAGCACAATCTATTACAAAAATCTATTTTAATGACATGGCGCTTCAAGGGGAGCACTGTGTAAGTGTTCTTTTCAGCAGAACTATCGCTTTAACAGACACACTCACACTAGTCTGAGATCAGTGGGGCTAAGCGCGTGCAGTGGAGCCGTTTGAATGATATCTACCTTCTGCGCATCTCTCCATGCAAGCGGATGAATGATAGCCCTGGGATTTCAGGGACTCATACCTCTGACGATCTACAACATAAAAGCCAGTATGAAAAGGTCAATGAGGGTTCAGACGAAGGTGTGGCAGCCCAGAGTCTGGCTCCACCCTCTCTGTTCACGAGAGTGAGCATAATGCATTATGCACTGGCAGAGAAAACACTTCATACAGCACTATGAAGGAATTCCTCCTCCACATCATGCAAGCAGACAGAACCGAGGAATTATAAAGGAAAACGACAATTCAGGGTTTAAAAAATGTTCTGCACAAATGAAAGTGGAAATGTATGGAGATGAAAATGGAACATTTGTGGATAAAGTTTTCATTGCACTAGAATTACACATCTGATGATAAACAGTGCATTAGAATTAAATATCTAATGGTGAACAATGCACTAGAATTATACACTGATGGTGAACAGTGCAGTAGAATTATACATCTGATGGTGAACACTGCACTAGAATTATACATCTGATGGTGAACACTGCACTAGAATTATACATCTGATGGTGAACACTGCACTAGAATTATACATCTGATGGTGAACACTGCACTAGAATTATACATCTGATGGTGAACATTGCACTAGAATTATACACTGATAGTGAACAGTGCTCTAGAATTATACATCTGTTGGTGAACAGTGATCTAGAATTATACATCTGATGGTGAACAATGCACTAGAATTATACATCTGATGGGAAACAGTGCACAAGAATTATACACTGATAGTGAACAGTGCACTAGAATTATACACTGATGGTGAACAGTGATGGTGAACAGTGCACTAGAATTATACATCTGATGGTGAATAGTGAACCATGATGGTGAATATTGCACTAGAATTACACATTTAATGGTGAAGATATATATTTATATTTATGTATATATGTACATTAATGAAGCAAATAAATAGAAATTGTGTGCTAAAATTTGCAGAAAAAAACAATATTTAAGTGTGTTCTCTGCAGACGATGTGTCACCTTGTTGCCTTGTTTTCACTTAGAAAATACTAAACTAAACATGTAATTGACCAGGGGTGTTTGCATACACCTGATACAGGATATATATGGTCACTGGTTGAAACATGTAGCCACTGTTGCTCTCACTGGACGTCGTTGAAGGAGAGTAAAAACCACTTTCACTCTATGGAAGTAATGTTACTGAATTATTAAAGATAATAAAAACATTCTGACCAAGTCTATTCTGTCCACTCATACAGCTGTACCAAAATGTACTGCATTTTAAATAGGGTCTTTCTTCTTTAGGGTCAAATCTGAGCAAATGTGATTAATCACAATTAATTATACAAAATAAAATGATTAATAGTAGTTAATAGTAATTCATTTTAAAATGAATCATTTGACAGCCCTCAATATTATATTATCAATGTAATATATTTAAAAAGAATGTATGCGTTTTGTACATTATTTTCTATATTATATTCTATAATATTTACCTTTTCTTTTTACAGGGCTTTATGTCTAGAAATTAGGGCTGCAAGATATGGTCATAAAGCTGTTGGATAATCACAACGATGATATGAGAAGAGATAAATTCTTATAAAAATAGGCTGCCTATTTAACCAACCTTTCATTTAAGCAAATATCAACAAAATACAAAATTTAAAAAGCACCATTCCCTGTTCACTGTTTTTATGAAGCATCGAAAGCTATTTGACTGGGTGCCCCCATGAATTCACAGCGTGCTAAACGTTCCATGATGTGCCTCAGTCTAAACACAGTCAGGATTCCCTGAAGAACTTTTCTATTCCTGGTTGCAGTCAGACTATGAATGAACAAATACGTATTTTTCAATATAAATCCAGAAAAATGAATAAATCTGCATTTAATTCCTTAAAAAAGCTTCTTATGATGATGCAGATTTGTTGTAACAGTAGCTAACAGCTAATAGCTAACTGCTTCATATACACCACTACAGTGTATTTATTTTACACACAACACTGAGAGTGAAAATACGTTTGAAGCATTTTTACAAGCTAATCGATCAGGATAGGGTAGTTTTTTAGCTATGTAAGGATATGTTTAGGATCTGTTTCAAGCCCAGCGCATGGGGAGCCAAGTGTGTCAACTTTGGTGCCTGCATGTGTGAGGTAGTTTGATCTGTTCTGTCAATCATGTAGCCCTCCCAACGCTCAGGAGCATGTGCACTTTGTGACTGCGTGCTCTGTGCAGCACCTCTCTCCAGGGCGATGAGGAAATCTCTGTTGCGCTGCAGCTCCCTCATGAACTCCTCATTCTGCAGGAACAGAGCGATACGCTCATCCTCCAGGTACTGCTTCAGCTTCCTGTCCTGCTCCGACGCCCAACCGGACCCACTGGGGGCTGCCCCACTGCCCGACGCCGCTGAGTACTGCGTCAGGGAAGACAGCGAGGATGAAGAGGAGGAAGGCTGTGACAGGCTGCTCTGAGAACGCTGTGGGGTGCAAACAGAACATCAATGTTAAATTTGCCTTCAGGTTCAGTTCATTTTATACGTAGACTGAACTGGAAGTATTACAGTAGTACTTCAGCAAAAAAATCCACTCTGGACTTGCTTAAGTGGTTCCAGACACTGAATGCAATACAGTTATCTATAAAATTCAGGCTTCAAGATGACTGCTACTGGATTTATAGATAACAGTGTCAGAAACCACATAAGTAAGTCTCTTGGCGATTACTTAAAGGAGATCTAGTAAAACTGCATTTTCCTTGCCAGTGAAATATGAAGTCTCTGCTGTTCTGCATTTCCCTTTAACATAAGGCGTGGGATTCTACAGGATTTGCCACTCACCCAGCCTTCATAGTCTCACTGAGTAACCACACCCACTCACCCAGCCTTCATACTGTCACTGAGTAACCACACCCACTCACCCAGCCTTCATACTCTCACTGAATAACCACACCCACTCACCCAGCCTTCATACTTTCACTGAATAACCACACCCACTCACCCAGCCTTCATACTTTCACTGAAAAACCACACCCACTCACCCAGCCTTCATACTGTCACTGAATAACCACACCCACTCACCCAGCCTTCATACTGTCACTGAATAACCACGCCCACTCACCCAGCCTTCATACTGTCACTGAATAACCACGCCCACTCACCCAGCCTTCATACTTTCACTGAATAACCACGCCCACTCACCCAGCCTTCATGCTTTCACTGAGTAACCACACCCACTCACCCAGCCTTCATACTTTCACTGAATAACCACGCCCACTCACTCAGCCTTCATACTGTCACTGAATAACCACGCCCACTCACCCAGCCTTCATACTGTCACTGAATAACCACGCCCACTCACCCAGCCTTCATACTTTCACTGAATAACCACGCCCACTCACCCAGCCTTCATGCTTTCACTGAGTAACCACACCCACTCACCCAGCCTTCATACTTTCACTGAATAACCACACCCACTCACCCAGCCTTCATACTTTCACTGAATAACCACGCCCACTCACCCAGCCTTCATGCTTTCACTGAGTAACCACACCCACTCACCCAGCCTTCATACTTTCACTGAATAACCACACCCACTCACCCAGCCTTCATACTGTCACTGAATAACCACGCCCACTCACCCAGCCTTCATACTGTCACTGAATAACCACGCCCACTCACCCAGCCTTCATACTTTCACTGAATAACCACGCCCACTCACCCAGCCTTCATACTTTCACTGAGTAACCACACCCACTCACCCAGCCTTCATGCTTTCACCGAATAACCACACCCACTCACCCAGCCTTCATACTTTCACTGAATAACCACACCCACTCACCCAGCCTTCATACTTTCACCGAATAACCACGCCCACTCACCCAGCCTTCATACTTTCACTGAGTAACCACACCCACTCACCCAGCCTTCATGCTTTCACCGAATAACCACACCCACTCACCCAGCCTTCATAGTCTCACTGAATAACCACACCCACTCACCCAGCCTTCATACTCTCACTGAATAACCACACCCACTCACCCAGCCTTCATAGTCTCACTGAATAACCACGCCCACTCACCCAGCCTTCATACTCTCACTGAATAACCACGCCCACTCACCCAGCCTTCATACTCTCACTGAATAACCACGCCCACTCACCCAGCCTTCATACTCTCACTGAGTAACCACGCCCACTCACCCAGCCTTCATACTCTCACTGAATAACCACGCCCACTCACCCAGCCTTCATACTGTCACTGAATAACCACGCCCACTCACCCAGCCTTCATACTGTCACTGAATAAACACGCCCACTCACCCAGCCTTCACACTTTCACTGAATAACCACGCCCACTCACCCAGCCTTCATACTCTCACTGAATAACCACACCCACTCACCCAGCCTTCATAGTCTCACTGAATAACCACACCCACTCACCCAGCCTTCATACTTTCACTGAATAACCACCCCACTCACCCAGCCTTCATAGTCTCACTGAATAACCACGCCCACTCACCCAGCCTTCATACTTTCACTGAATAACCACACCCACTCACCCAGCCTTCATACTTTCACTAAATAACCACACCCACTCACCCAGCCTTCATACTTTCACCATTAACAGTATCCATTAATATTCAGAGACAGGCTTTGAGTTTAAATCCTCACTAAAGGAGTCAACAAACTGTGAAATTTGGCTGTGTTTGAAATCGCCTATTACATACTGCTCATGTACTGATTCTGCACAGAAGTAGTAAGTAGTGTGCAGTACATGACCAACATGAATTTCCCCGGTACGCCAAAGATACTGGATGATGTGCTGTTCTGGCAAATTTTTTTCCAGTACGCTTCGTAATATACCATTTCAGGAGGACATAACCACTGACATAACCTGGATATTTCGAATAGCTCTGTATCCAGCCTTTCTTCTATACATTAAAATGGCAAAATGAAAGAAATCTGACCAAACGCTGCTGCACTCAGTGCAACTCTGAACGAGCTTCTCTGCTGGTCTTGAGGTGGGTTTGCTTACGTTTTCTAACTTTCTGCATGACGTGGATAAAACAGTAACTCAGCTGAATGATACGCTCAGCATCGGCTTTTCAGGCTCCCGCGTGAAGTCACACTGCTTATATTCAGTCGGAGTAGCTCAGATTACCAACTACCGGTGTAATGAAAATGAAATGACTTGCAAACGGAGGAAAACAGGTGTGTTTGGAAACCACAGTTTTACCACACAGACCAACCCACAGCTGACGTTTTTAAAGTTTATTTGTGGCTTTGAAGAAGGGTAGAAAACACCGCCCTGCCCTCTGTCACACTATGGGGTGTATTTTAAAACACACTGAAAAGCAGCTAGCTACGGGTGCTAAGCAGTGATTGGAGGGCTGAAGAATATGGGGTGGGTCTTGAGATGGTCTGATTGGCTCGGTCTCAGACATAGACAGGCTAGTCGTGCCTCTTCCATAGTATGGCACGCAGCTTGTGTTGTATACTGGAGAAGTAGTAGTACTGATGAACAGCAGTATGCAGAACACAGTACATACTGATACAGTATGCAGTACAAAGTATACAGTAAACTATTTCAAACACAGCCAAAGTGTTACTTAAATGTCTTTTATGTGCTTCACATGTCTGTGTTTAAACTAGAGAAAAGCTACTTACTTATAATTTAGTGACTGTCTCAGCGTAAACAGGCTTAAAAAGCTAAAAATGAGGTCTTGCTACACGGTTCTCCGCTTCAGCCACCAAGGTGCAGTGACCACACCCTTTACTCCACCCCCTCTACAAAAACAGCCTACGAGAGCACCTGTCATTAGCATACTAAACTACTTGTTCTTCACAAAATGCATCATACAAAGACTGAATTAAGGTGTTATTTGTGTTGTACTCTTCTTTGTTGTCTTTTAAAGAGTGCAGGGAACTATATTAAATTGGAAAGAAGAGTTCAAATGTCTCCCTCAACAAGAGAAGTGTGTGACGTTTTAGGCACGCAGTTTTCTCAGTGGCAATCAGTTTGAGCCCACCCTGCGTTTATTTCATTTTCAGACAAATCGGCCACTCCGCACAAGTTATTAATTTTTCAGAAGATATTTCTGAGGATATTAGATATAAGACAATACACTAAAGCCAAACTGAAGTTTTTTAAGCTCCACTCTTGCTTCAGATCTGAAAACATCCACAGCCATCTTTCCACTGTGAGAGGACAACTCAGCACTATGGGTCTGAAAGGATGTGTAGCTGTCAAGAAGCCCTCACTGAGGAAATAAATAGACAAAAAAAAGAGTCTAGATATCAATATTATTGCATGCTGATTACTTAGTGAGAAGCAAGAAACACAATCAACTTCTAAGACTGAAGTGAAAAACTGAAAGTGAGTCTCCTGAAAAGAATGGAAGTTGTAATAAGCTTCCATTAGGAAGCTCATTACAGGAGTGGACACAAGATGATATCATATTTAGCTGTTGAGGCTTTTGTGTTATTCTCTGATAAATATGTTTCCTGCTACTTTTTCTGAAGAAAAAAAACTTGTACTTGATGGTCGTTTTGACTGGAAATAAAATAAAGTAAGTGAAAGGTGGATTCTGACTTTTGCACAGTACTGTATTTAAGCTACCATTACATGTATGCTATGTTACCATGTAACAGAACTAAAGAACCAAACTTTATACACCAAAAAGTTCTTGCCTGACTGACCACATTTAGAATAGAGGAGAAAATAGCTTTTTTATTGCTAAACTCCTTTAAACAGCCATCTGAAATTACTTCTAGTGCATCATACTGGAGTTAGACACCGTAGGAGGTTCTAATATGCAGCTAAATCTCATTACACTAGAATATTCTAATGACCTACTGAAACAGTGAGGTTAATGCTTTCGGCTCTACACGTCGGAAATCGCAACAGGCTCTGTTGCACGGCCCTGTGTGCACGTGTGATTAGAATTGCTGATGGATCTGGACGAGCCATGGCCTAAGTTAATGATCCATTATCGGTCAGGAAGAGCGCCATAAATCTACCTGCAGACTGTCCAGCTGCTGGGGCAGAATCCGCAAGAAGTCATCGGGGAGGTTGCCTAGTAACGGCGGGTTCCAGTTCCTGTAGCCGCCGACCTGCCGATGCCCGGGTGGGGGATGGGCATCAAACCTGGCATTAGCGTGGGCACACAAAATCAAGGTCACTCTGTGGGCGCAGAGATCCATCACTGTACATTAAACTTAATGACGTTCTTCCACTCTTCCTTTCTGAGCTGTGGTCCTCTGAGTAATGTGCTTCTTTCACTCACAAACACAAAGGGGGGGGCGCAGATATTGTGTGTTGAGAATTAATGGCATCCTTACAGCAGGAACAGCAGCGCCTCTGGCAAACTACACTCTACCCACATGAGCTGCAGTAACATCAGACCACCAGCAGGTGGAGCACTGACTTTGAGAACACAACTGTCTTAAAAGAGTGAGTTCAAAGACTTCACAGAGCCCAACAAATTCCCCAAATAATTTAATCTAGTATTTAAACACTGCTGAACTTTTACAACATACACTATATGGCCAAAAGTATGTGGACACCCATCCTAATTACTGAGTTCAGGTGTTTCAGCCACATCTACTGCTAACAGGTGTATGAAATCAAGAACACAGCCATGCAATCTCCGCAGTAGAATGGGTCGCACTGAAGAGCTCAGGGACTTTAAACATGGCACTGTCATAACATGCCACAAGTCAGTTTCAGCAATGCTAGATCTGCCATGGTCACCTGTAAGTGCTATTAGGGCAAAATGGAACCATCTAGGAGCAAAAACAACTCAGCCACGAAGCGGTAGACCAGAGCAGGGCTGCTGAGTGGTGGAGTGCATATTGCATGAGAATCGCTTATCCTCAGAGTTCAAAACTGCTTATGGAAGCAACATCAGCACAAGAACCGTGCTTCGGAAGCTTTTAAGGAATGGGTTTCCACAGCCGAGCAGCTGCACTCGCCTGCACATTGACAGTCTGATGGATGAATCTGGGTTTGGCGGATGCCAGGAGAACGTTAACTACTGGAATGCACAGTGCAGTAAGCAGTAAAGTTTGGTGGAGGAGGGATAATGGGCTGGGGCTGTTTTTTAGGGTTTGGACTCCTTAGCTCCAATGAAGGGTAGTGTTAATGTAATAGCATACAAACACATTTTAGAAAATTATCCATGATTATCCAAATTACTGCACAGAGCCTTGACCTCAACCCCACTGAACACTTTTGGAAAGAGCTGAAACGGTGATTGTGAACCAGGTCTTCTCGTCCAACATCAGTTCCTGACCTCACAAATGCTCTTTTGACAAATGGGCACAATTTCAATCAGACACTCTCCAACATCTTACGGTAAACCTTCCCAGAAGACTGAAGGCAGCTATAGCCACAAAGGCAAATATTAATTATATTAACTCCATATTAATGCCCATGGTTTTGGAATAGGATGTCCCACAAGCTCATAGAGGTGTAATGGTCAGGCGCCCACATACTTGTGACCATACAGTGTACCTTTCTCTTCCCAGCCATCATCCTGATGACTTACAATATAAACATAATGGAGCAGATTTTTTCATAATCACAGACTCTGTTAACTTGTGGAGTGACTGGTGTCCCCTAGAGATGTTAATGAGTATAAGGTCAGAGTGGAAACCCTCCACTCCTCCTGTCTCTTGCCTGGGTGGTGGAATGGATGGCAGGTCTGCTGGGTGTTTCCTGTCGTAGATGTGCATGTCGTAGGAGGGCGGCGAGTACACAGGAGGAGGTTCCTCATCTGAGCTGTCCGGCTCTAACGTCCTCTCCAGGATCTGCGGACGGAACCAACAAACACATATACACAGACAGACAAATCCAGATTATGTGAGGAATATATGGCAAAAGCAGCTACTGGCATCTGTTTTATGTATTATTCTCAAAAGAAAACAGTATATAGTCATAAACACAAGTGCACAATCTACATTTATTTGCTGATTACATATAAAGCATTTGGAAAAAATCAACATAAGCATAAAATGTCCCATACCTTTTACACAGGCCACATTTTATGATTTTTTTTTCATAGTCGCGTCCAGCTTTTAAAGTCCATACAAAAAATGATTTTTGGTAGCTGTTTTTGGAAACAGGAAAGAGTCACTGTGGCACTGGACTTCTTGCAGTCCCACACACAAGACTCCCCTCAGTGGGCGATGATGCTACTGCCCCCAAACTTTGCAATTGTCCTCCACAGTCTGTGACTGCTTTATCCCTTCTTCTTTTAAAGTTGAACTCAAAATGCTCACTATTCTTCTTCCTCACAGTCTTAGGTCATTGCTCGCTAGCAGCTCAACAGAGAGACACAAAGAGCCACCAGTGTCCTAGTTGATCTGATAACAGAACAACAGGGGAAATTTATTTGATTCTATTATTTGAAAATATCCAAGCAGATCTCCATTCCACCACAAGGGGGCCTGCAGTAAGAGGTTAATATATTATACTGTACTGCAGTCTCAATATGTGGTAATAAAGAGCAGTAGAGTGTTGGTTGCAGCTGTGCAGCCTCTGTCCTGGATAAAAACAGTCCTGGTGACAGCAGCCTGCCTGCGCTTAGCTTACGCCAGTTTACTGCGGGGCAGCAGCTTCTATTGTGTGAGAGAACTGCTTGACCTACTTGCTGAGCGAGGTCCTGGAGAGTGCAGCACACCCCAAAGCTTTAAAGCCAATGCCAGTGACAAGTGCTGGGCTCCTCTCAGAGGGGTTTGGGCTCAGCACTAATGCAAGCACATGAGCAACGTCCTGCCCCTTCACTATCCACTCCGAAGGAATATCAAGCCGCAGTTCAAACACTTTCAAACCCCCATGAGCTGCCTGGTCTGATGGGCTCGACTGCTTTGGGCCGCACAATCGGTAGCTAATGAGACGTGTGGAAGATTGTGCGGTCGAGGAAGGCTCCACATTAAATATGCATTATCTCTGCTTCTTGACATGTAGACTTCCACTGCTCTGGAGAGATCAAACAGTATCTGCGGATGAAGCTCGTAAAGCATTTAGACTCATGGGGTCCACTGTGTATTGCGATTTGAGAGAGGGCAGCTTAGCAATGCAAAGCTTCAGTGAAACTTTATATAAGGGTGTATTTGAACCGTTCAACCAAATGAGTTCAAACTGCAGTCCTACAGTAAAAGTATAGATATATACACTGATTGTTATGATCTATTTAAACCCAATGTAGTAATTGAGATATTAAAACAATAAATAGACACAAACTCATTATTTATAGTGTACTTTCTACTGAGAGGTATCTGTCCCAAACCCTAACCCCCAAATTTACACTTCTTAAAATTATAATAATAAAAATAATACACTTTTTTGTATTTTTTTCATGTCTTTTATGATCTTTGAAAACATTTCGTTAAAATTAAAGTTGAAATATTTAGAATTATCATGAGTTTAACTGTCAATTATCATGAGTTTAACACTTTATTTAAAACTTTGTCACTACCGAAATACAAAGAGTTTTAGTCAGTTGGCGGAGCTTTATTTTAGCCACACCCCTGCATTTCAGAGCAGGAAGTGAGACTGCATCCCTGTCCCTCATGGCCATATGGTGAGCAGTTAGATCCCATTTTTTTGAAGCAAATGTTTCCCAAAATCTGAAAATCAGTGTGAAACATTAAGAATTGTCACTACCGAAACACTTCTGCAATTAAGTAAACTTTCTTGTGTTTTAATGAAAAAATATGATTTTATGTGTGCACAACTGTTCAAAGCTGTGTTTTTACCGAAACTACTACTAAAACACTCAAAATTCTGTCAAGTTTCGGTAGTGTTATGATTCTTTTGTTATTGACAAATTTATCTATATAAAATAAATATAATCAAGGTATTGAGTCACTCAAAGCAAAAGAATTTTAATCTAAAATCCAAGTTAGTTAAAAGTTTGAAATCTATATAGAGAAGAAAGTATGTCAGAAAATGTTTAGGTGTATCCGTAAAGGCTAAAGTGCTCAAATGCCTGAAATTTGTTTCTGTAACATCCTGTCTTCCCCTGCGTTGTCTTGTTTCTGTCTGTATCTGCCTTTGTTTATCTCCCTTATGTCTTGCCATGTGCTTTTGCTGTTGTTTTGGTCTGTGTCTCCTCCCTGGGCCTGCCTCCTTGTCATTGGTCTCACCTATCTGTTGTCTATAGCCCAGCCCTCTCATTAGTTTCAGCTGTTTCTGGTCTGTTCTATGTACATTTATACTCCTGGTTGTGTGATTTGTGTTTGCTTTGGTGTTTTGTTTTCTAGTCCTCTTCATGTTCTTTAGTCTTGTTTCCTTTCTGTTGTAGCATTTTGTTTAATATTTTCTTATTGTTTTGTTACTTTGTGGATTCTTTCGTCATGGCTTTCAATAAAAACAAGGACTTGTGCTTGCATCCTGCCTCTTCGTCTCCCTCTACTTTACAGTTTCCAAAACAAATCTAATGTAAATATAAGGGATGGCCTGAACAGCATTTTACAGGCTTCGAACACTTGTTGGTATTTATAAATGAGGACTCCAATACTCGTTCTCAACACTACTCTTAGAAACACTGATATTTATGTTTCATAATTAACCATAATTTTATGTTCCTGCAGTCATATATATCCTGTAAATACAGTGTATAAGTAGTCAAGCTGTTTGCACCATATATTGCTCTGGAAGCTGTGATTGTCATGTAAATGCTAAGAGTGTAGCAAAGCAGAATTAGCGTTTTACTAACCACCGTCGTGCAGCCGTAGTTCATTTTTGTTAATTGCTTCTATCAATTTTATCAAATTATTTTATTGGCTAGTTCGCCAGTTTTTCTCATGGAAAGCAGCAGTGAGGGCGACACGCAGGCCGAGGCTCTTACACTATCTTCTAAATCATATTTGTAAAAAAACAAAAACAAACAAAAACTTTTTAAAAGCTTTTTAAAACTTTTTTTTTTACTTAAGCCACAGAACAGGAGAGGGAGCGCGTTATCGCGAAATAACATCACGGCTGTGATTTGGTCGCTGTAGATCATCACAGCCGTGATGTTATTCGCTGTAACACATGACCTCGAGTGTTCTACTGCTTTTATACAACAGTTAAATAAATAAAGTAAGAAATGAAGAAATCGAGTTGTAAACGTGGCGTTTAAGATGTTTTAATATTAGCAGCTCCGCTCATTCGCTGCATAGCTGGCAGTTCGTTCTCCAGCTCCACACAGACCAACACATTAAACTCGTTTACAGCCCATTTAGTTTGGCGAATGGTGTTGGGTTCATTTCTGGCTGATTCCAGGGTTGTTTAGCTGTTCTTCTGTCACAGCTGCCGACTGAAAAGCTGCTCAGTGGTGATGACAGTTTGGGAATTTAGTGTCGTCTCATCTTCAGAGTCTGACCGAATCAGCTGTCGGTCAAATGTGATCTTAAAAGTGTCCATTTTCTGTTTGTGGCAAAGTAAGTAGTAAAAAACGTTCGAATGGCTTGAGCGTCTCCTACAGCTGTCAAAGTCGTTGCTTAGCAACGGCGTCTCAGCAGAGTGATAGTGTTTGTGAAAAAAACGTGATGTTATGGTGAAATAACAGCACGATTAGAACGCTTCTCAACCAATCAGCTTGCGTGACTGTTGCATAAATCATTATAATCAGTGTGAAAGTTGTAAATGTAATAAAAGAACAGAACGAATTGGTTCTACACAATTTACAGTCCTGTTTAAGTGATGTTAAAGTTAAGTGTTTCTCCTTTTCATGCACAATCCTCGCATCTGCTTTTAAAGCGGTAATGTAACATTACGCTGGAGACTGAGCACTGTCCGGCCAACAAACTGATAGCAAATACTTTCTATTCTTAACTTCATTGATTCAATCGATCCTTCTATCCTTTCTATCCTCTACAGCCAAACTCCCCCATGTCCTACAGAAAGCAGGGCCTTGGTTTACATTGCTCATTTCCCTGCCTAAACAGTTTAACAGCAGGCTTATGATTCATTTATTAATCTCAAGCCTTTTCATCCATTACACTGCTATGAATGAATCAGTGACCACTTTCAAACTACTTTATCAAGTATGTAGATATGAGGGTGAGGAATGACCCAACAACAGCTTCTTAAGCCAGAAACATACTGCATTCAAGTACATGAACAGAAATGCTTTAAGATACACAAAGGTCATAATGTCATTCTGGTGCAGGTTGCATTCTGAATGTTGCAGCAAAGAGTGCAACAGCAGGTATAACACAGGAATAAACTGGACAAAAGACAAAAACTCTGTCCAGTTCCACCTGTAATTTAGTTATTTTGCATGTTCAAAAGCACATCCTCCTCGATTGTGAACTTCGTGAACTGGAATAATTGCAGGTCTGGTTTAAACTCTCTCTTATTGCCTTCTTAAGTACTGAGGTTAACTGTACTGAGCAAAAGTGACCATCCTTTCATTTATTTCCAGTCAAAATGACCCTCAAGTACAAGTTATTTATTGAATTCCAGAAAAAAACAGAAACATATATGTAACAGAAAATTAAAACTAAATCTAATATCAAATCTATCAGTATTTATTTGTCCACGCTTTACTTTCGTGCACCTACTGTCACCTTAACTCTTCCATCGTTCCAAACTTAAAACCAACCAGTTAGAGCTGCGTCCTCCCAAAAAAGCTGCTCCCTAAGATCTCACTGACATTATGTTCCCCTTCAAAGAGACACTTTTCACACTTAGTTTGTTTTCTAAAGTCTGTTATTCTCACATTTGTACCATTTGAGCCAAAACACTCCTACTTTGCATTCAAAAATAGAGACGTTTATTGTCTATATGTATTCCAGTCGAAGTCATAATAAACTTTACTTCATATCTGCTTCTTTATGATTGGTTTGCCAATTTGAACATAACCTGATGCAATACATCCCACAATCCATGTGCCAAAATTAAAGGCAACGCACAAACAACTACCCAAACTCTTCTTAGTTGCCTCACACATTTCTTTCTCAAGTGCAACTAAAATGGCTAAAGGAGATTCTGAAGAGATTAGATATGAGAGAATCCACCAGAAGAGGGAAGTCAAAAATATTAGAAAACTTTCCAAAACTGGATTATTAAAAGATGAGACAGAAAACAGTACTTAAATCTTTCATCTTCAAGAGAAAATCAAGCTCCACTCTTGTTCAAATCTTAAAAAAATCCACAGATGTTTCTGTCCATCCTTTCACTGTAAGAAGACAACTCAGCACTATGGGTCTAAAAAGATGTGCAGCTGTCAAGAACCCCTCACTGCAAAAAGGAAACAGATGTGGATTAAGGTTTTGTGGACTGATCTAAATTAGTCTAAATTTGTCACTGGGATTAGATGGATTGTGAGTGGAAAACTTTGGAGGTGTGGAAAAATATTCCTGCAGATTTCTTTAAAAAACTGAAAGCAAGCCTCCTAAAAAGAATAGAAGCTGTAATAAAGGAAAAGAGTGGACACATATTACATTCAGTTGTTGAGCTGTCTGTGTAATTTCTACTTAAAAGCTGTTCTGAATAAATAAAATAAATGAAAGGGTGGTCACTGACCTTTGAACTCCACTGTATGTAACGTAAATAACATGTACAATGGGACTGTGTACTTTCAAACCATTGGACAGGCTTTTTTTAGCATTTGTGCACTTGAGAAAGCTCATGTTTCTGGCCTTCGAGTTTAAGGGGCTGACCTCTGGGGGGATGCTGTCATCAGAATCCGAACTGTCATCCGTGCCCTGTCCGTCCAGACTCATCTGCAGCAGCTGATCGATGGTGGAGTCCACGGCGCCGTTGTTGGCCCGCAGGACGCACTCGATCACCTCGTGGTCCATGCTGGGGAACATGGTCTTGAAGTCGTCCATGGCTTGGTTAAACTCCAGCCGGCGCACTTGTCGCGGCGGTTTGCTGTTGTTGAGCTCGGACGCGGCGCCAGAGGCGCCTCCCCCTCGTGAGCCGTTGCCATGGCTGCCGTTGCTGCTGGCGCTGCGGCGGAACAGGCTGGTCATCATCCAAAGGGCCGCCAGTCGCCTGACCGCACTCCTCCTCCCCACCGGCAACGAAATGGTGCCTTCTGGACCCGTGCCAAGACCCGCAAACTCTCCAGGCTAAGCCCGCCCCCTCTAGCTCTGCACCCGCCCCCTGACCGCGCCCCCCTCGTTATCCTTTCATGGTGCCTGCAGAGTTAGAGAGCAGGGCGGCAGCATTGACTGAGTTTGGCGTCCGCTGCTGCTGTCTGACAACCAGCAGCATGTAACACTCTTCTAATGGGTGACCTTCTCAAAGCCGCCCACTCAGACTCCAGGCGAGAGTCTATCACTGATCCACAGGCTCCTGTTCAGGCATCCTCAGGATCTGCAAAACAGGGGGAGAAATATGATTATATTTCAAATTGATTAATACAGTGACATTCAGACATATGGACACATCTATGCATAGGGATGTCTTTAGTGTCTAATAGTAATGAAGACATCAACACTAAAATAAATGGGGGTGGGAAAAATAATCAATTATAAAATAATCTGTTCTCTGTAGAGGAAGTGTTCACTTAGTTTCTCTTAGAAAATCAACAAAACATGTCATTTGACTATGGGTGCTCAAACTTACATTCATGTGCACGCAAAGACTTTTTTAAGTAGATACATTGGGGCACCCCAGCTTTGAGGAGGAAAGAAAATGTAGGGTCTGCTCAGGAGACGCTAACAGGCTAACAGTAACATGAAAAGTCAAGGAGAATATTTAGATATTTAGTTAAAAATTAAAGCTGGCAATGAAAATAAACAATAAAGTTGACTAAAGGAGAATCTGACACGTGGCGGTCATTTTCAATTGTGACTAATGCAGATGGAAACCAGCTATACGGGACTGGGGGGCGGGAGCGGGACAGAATGTTAGACCGCAGGTAAAGAGGATGAAATCTTGTGGGAGAAGGACTAAAAAAATCAATCTGGTGCAGACCTCTAGTCTCAAAGTTTTAAAAAGTTCTTTTGTGTGTGTCATTTAAAGGGAAGAAACAGTCGTGATTGCAATGCTTGCAGTCACAACTATTCTGACAATAAGAGGTGATGCAGTTTTCAAAAACTGTTGCCTTTTCGAGTTGAATTAGTTTCACCAGAGAACTGACTGGCCAAATCTGTAATTTCTCCAAATTACTCCAGACAGCCCAGATCAAAACATCATATCCTGGATATTCACATTATTATTATGGTTAAAATTAAACAGATCCAAACAAACAAGAACAGCTTCCAGTTAATACCAGATTAGGTTAGTAAAGTGGGCTCATTTAACTTAAATATGCTGCCCAACAGGACAGAAATCACACCTCAAGATATGTCATTTCAATTCAGTTAAGCTTAGTTTTTGCATTTATTACCATTTTTAGGAATTATTTTCTAGCGGACTTGTGAAAACTATGCACACTGCAGATTCATTTTGGATTACAATCACAGGTCTCATGGGTAATCACTCACATTACAGCACCTAATTCAGCTCCAATAGGGCTTTGGTCAGTATTACATTATTTATTATCTGATTTCATTAAAGCATTAAATCAGCTAATGTTAAAAAGTCTATAAGTCTATAGCCCATCTTATGATATACAGGACATAGAAATTAAAAATGGAGATGCATCAACAATCGTTTTATGCATACTGGCACCCTGAATCAAAAGCAAGATTTTTAAAGCAGGCTCCTCTTTGTACATTTACTGAAACGACTAAACAAGTGTAAAAATCTAAGGCAGGACTCGTGTCCTGCTGTCAGCAAGAGGTGAAATAAAGTACGAAATGGACACGTTCGGTCAAACACGTGACAAACACTCACACACACTCTTAAAGTGGCGTGATGCGTTCAGCGGGGGGGCCCCACTCTGTCGGTTCTGATTACATCTCGATATCGCCCCTTCCAGCACTCCCACAAGCCTGACACTCTGGGCATCCCTGTTCCCACGGCAACACGACTCTCCCCAAGCAAGAGAGTGGCGTGGGCCAGCGCGGAGGCAGGAGGTGCCCGCTGCCAACTGCACAGTGACCGGCACCTGCCTGCACACTTTAAAGAGGAAACTGCACTAGTGACGCACCGAAGTGAAGATCAGTGACTGAAACTGAAACAGACACATTCGAACACCAAAAGAAAAGGTCTTTTATATATAATTTAACATTTATTTATCCTTTTGAACTAATGCTGATGATCCTTCAAAGGCCATAATCACCATGTTGAGAAAAGAAACTAAGGGAATTAGAGGACTACTTTAATTTCTAAACAGCTTGATGAATAACACAGAATATTAAACGTTTTGAAAATATGATACTTCATGGTTTCCCAAAGGCTCTAGGTCTATGATCAGATATTTGCTTTAAAAAATATTACAGATGTTTAGACCTTACCAATGTTTCAGATATTTTTGATATTTAATTATGTGTTTATTGCACTGCAGAAGAGCAGACTGTATATTACGCTGGCTAACTTGCTAAAATATCAGCATTTTATTCATTTTACTGCACTTTAAGTCCTACAGAAGTAAATGTTACACTTCTTTAAGGCTAATCTAGGTGGATTCAGTCCTAAATTCTATCTTTTATCATTGTTTATGTTTTGGCATCTGCAGATATGTACGAGAAAAATATGTCTCACAATACCGTTATGTGATAAAAAAGTTCTAATTTATTAGTTCATCCTGTACTGTTGTGATACAGTAAAGCAACTTTGATGGATCGAAGCTAAATTTCACTTTTGTTCTATAGTTTCTTTCACGACTGATGTGCACCCCAGCGGCATAACAGTCTGAGGTTGATGTGTTATTGCCAATATTTTCAGTCATATCAATAAAACAATGGGTCAATGTCAGTCGATATTATCGTCCAACAGGTAAATCAGTCCAACTCTACTGTTACCTATACACACAGACCGGGGTCGGCAACCCAAATGTTCAGAAGAGCCATTTTGCGCTTAAAAAAAATTAATCCGCCTTGGGAGCCACAATATTTTATGTCCATTTATTTGGATAACGCTTTACCATCTTGGCTGTGAGTATGCCTCAGTATGTGGTAACGTCCCAGTGTAGACCAAAAAAATAATATAAACAGAAACACACACAGACTCATTTTGCTCTGCTTCAAGCTTTAGCTTGGCCATAGTCACTTTTCTCGCATCTCCGGCAGGAAACTTTCCAGCAAAAGTAGAACAGATTCCTTTAAAATGTCTCTCAAAGTTTTACTTTTTATGACGCTGACGTCAGCTTCTTATGAGGCACCATTTAAGGTGGAACTGGAGAATTCGAACATGAAGCTAACTTCAGCTTTGCAACTTTTTAGTGTTCAAGAGTTTTCTGTTGCAGATGAAACGTATCAGGAAGCCAGCTGAGTTCCTAGAAATGCATATAAGTCCATTCTTCTCTAAATTTTTGATGTTTGTCTTAAATAGTACTCTTTGCCTTTGCGTTAGCTACTAGCTAGGCGAGATTGCTATCTAAAGTGACCAGCAGTCTGTGTGCTAACCTTCAGGGTTAAAGGGTGAATAAGCAGTTGTACATTAACTCCAGTGTTTAAGATCATTTATTGTTAAAACTGTGTTGAACGACCAGCAGAGCTTTATTTCACTGCGAAGAAGTTTCATTTTATTGTTATCTAACAATCTAATTGTGCTGCGAAGCCGCAACAGGGCAGTAAATGAGGCTCACGTTTCCGACCCCGAAATAGACAATGTACAGCATTATAGCTGAGGAAAAGAACAAGGAAAGGATCATTTTAAACCAAATAATCTCTTTAAGTCAGTGACTGGGGTATATGCCTACAACGGCCACACTGTAGCAGTTTCAGCGTGAAGATGAGCCGTGCCAGCCTCAAGCAGAGTTAGAACTGCTCCAGCCAGCTCCATTAGGACTAATACAGCCTCAGAAAAGGCACCAGACACAGTGTACAAATGGCTAATGGTCTGAGACCAATAACAGCTGGTGTAACAGAACCCTCAGGCTGAGAACAAAAAGGCAGCTTGTCCCTATTCGGCACAGCTGTGTTGGGGGCCCCTGCAAGCTGTAAGCAAACTGATGATGTAGCACAGAAGGACATCTTCTTTGTTTTTAGCAGGAGATGGACCCTGAACTACAATTGATAGCCCACACACAAGCGTGAAGTGTAAGGTAATATGTACATGCAAGTATTTGCCTGCAAATACGCGTGATCTGTAGAATCTGGTCCATTTTTTAACAGTGTTTTTTACACATTTGTTTACATTCATGTTCATGTTACATAACGTTAAAGATGCAGACTTGTAAACACATAAGTTCATGCAAAAGTTAGAACACCCTTGGTCAAATGACGGTTGTTGATTTTCTGCAAATTTCTAGTTCACAAGATCTATTTATTTAGAAGTTTAACAAAAAACAATGTGCCATATTTTTTGCACAGGGCATATTTCATGTTTTAGTTTTGATCCCAATATGTTAAATTCAGCAAATAAACAGTAATTATGCATTAAAATGTACAGAGGTGTGTCGACTTAATTTCACCAAGACAATCAACAAAACATGTCACTTGACCAGGGACGCTAAAACTTTTGCATACGACTGTAGGTCAAAAGAAACTTCTGGTAAATTCACATGGCAGATCATCACAAACATTCCAAATTTACTGTCAGATTACATTAACAGATTAGAGGCTACTAAAGACAATAAAGTAAAATAGCCCTTTGCTCAGCAGATGAGGACAAGAACATCTATCAAACACGTTTATGATGCACTGATGTACTGTACAATACTGAGTAAATAAATTATGTTTAGCATGCCTGTAAGATCTGTATTATGGTAAATAAAAGATACTCATGTTGCACAATGGCAAAAAATAAGCTACAGATAAATGAATTAACAATACTGTCATTAGGAGCCGGAGTACAATGCCTTCCACTCCAACACAGCCTTTAATATAAATTATAATAAATAAAGAGTTAAACGCCTAAATAAAGCCCAGGTTTGCAGACCAGAGGTCTGCATTTCCATGGGAGTACTGAGGGACTCACCACAATATCTTGCAGTGTCAGGATAATTTTCAGTTTGACACGCAGGAGTGGGTGGTAAACTAACCCAGTGTGGAGTGTAAACCAAATGTGAAATCCCGCAAATTAACGAAATGA